GTGTGTGTGTGTGTGTGTGTGTGTGTGTGTGTGTGTGTGTGTGTGTGTGTGTGTAGTGTAGTGTATCGCATAAACTGAAACAACACTAGACAGCCTCTCTCAGGGCCTGGGGGCTTCCCTCCCAGCATTGTAACACTGTTTCCCTTGACAAACTGACTTGTCGGCACCAAACAGTAGCAGGACATATTAAAGGCTTGCCAAGTGGCTGACAAGTATCATGAGGGTCTGAGCACACACCCCACCCTGGCACGGGGGGCAGCCTCCAGTCAGGGACAGCCTTCCTGAGCCAGAGCAACGGGGATTCCCTCCGATAACGCCCCTGTGCCCAGTGCCAAGAGCTCAGCCCCCCTGTAGATCCTTATGTAACAAACCAGCTGTCTCCATCAGTTCACTGACCCACATTCATAACCCTAACCCAGGAGGCACGGCAGACTCCCACGGTTCCTTACAACAGCTCCGCTCCACCGTCTAATTGTTCAGCCCCTCTGGCCACTGCTTATTACTTAAGTGATGGTCAGAGATGAAAAGAAAAAAAAAAGACAACAGATCTGAAATGAAATTGAGTCAACGGCTCCACTGCTGGAAGTGGAAAACGATCATTAGGAGCCCTCCACCCACGACTAAATGCTCTCCCTTTGCAAATCACGTCAATTAATGTCATCAGCTATGAAAAATCCTCTCTGTGTCACACCACATGGAGGGAGGACAGATGCTAATAAGTGAACATACTTAACGGAGGAGGTGGGGAGGCATGGGATTCCCTCCGAGTCTGCATATCTCGTGCAGTGCCCGGGCCCTGTGAAGGTCAACGACAACACAGCAGGTACGGCGCTGAATATAAAATAAAACTGTCAGATCTAATAGACTTTTGGTTGCTCAGCCATCACTAGATTTGTATTCTCAACTATTTACACAGCACATATTTCCATCACGCTCTTCGCAAGGCCAGTTTTTCTCTTCACTTACCCATCAAGTGAAACATTTGATTATCTGAGAGTGAATTTCTTAATTTAATTTCCTTTGAGCAGAGCGAACAGTTTGCAGGAGAAAGGAAATGCTACAGCGGGGCTTAAACTCATCCATTAGGTTTAGGATGGGTGGACCCACTCAATTCAGTGGCTTTATTTCCAGTAGATGATATTGTACTGGAGGCAGAAAATGCTCCAATATGTGCCTATGATTACAGCAGCAAATACCCAAACACAGACGAAGGTTCACCTTAGTCTTTCTAAATGTGAGTGGGATACAAAATAAATAAATAAATAAATAAACATCTCGTTTGACGTTTCTTTTCCCAAAACTTTTGCCATCAAACAGACTTCAGCCTAATGCGACTGGATTGTTTGCTGACAAAGCTGTCAAAACTTCAAACAGTGGAGACTGGCAGCACCGCCGCCGTGCTTGAAGTCTCAAACCGCCCCAATCTTCCCTCAAATCACCGGCTGTGACCCCGAGTAGAACCGACAGAGAGACACGCCTCCTGTAAGGTGCCGCGTCTAAGTGCCGTTTCTCACCTTCCCACAGACTTCAGACAATGGGAAAGAAATGTGTAAACAAAAGAAAAACTCTGCAAGACAAAAAAAAAAAAAAGGGCAGACACTTGAGAGACTCAAAACAAAGATATGGTAATGACATCAACAGTAATTAGTGTTCGGACTGAACTGTCTGTTCATGCTCACTGACAGGGCTGACTGGGGAGTTCAGGTTTTGACGGAGGTTCAAAACACACGGTCCTGTGCAGGTGTGCATGGGAGCAGGAAATACTTGACCTTTACAGACTGCAGACTCACTCATTAACACTCATTAACATCTTCCTTCTGAGGTTCTATCACTTGGACAAAAAAAAAAATAAATCTCAACCACAAACAGCTTCAAATGTGATAAAACCTTAGAAATATCAAAATTATATTTAAAACCTTTGCTATGAACGTTCTTTGAATAAAAAAAAAACAGTGTGATTAAAAAAAAGATAAAATACTGTTTAAATGCCTTGTTGTTATCTTATTGGTGAGATGACAACAAAATGTTGGCAGTTGCGTTTGCTTGGACGACATAATTTGGACGATGAAGCGGAGGATAAAAAGCGTTGCAAACTGAAGATGCGGGATGAGTGGAGTGATTTACCACGAGATCGCTCCTGATCAGTGAGTGACACCGTGCCGGGAGGCTGCTTAAACAACATGAACTGGTAGCGGTGGAAACCGGTGTTTGGAGGCGGTGTCGGTGGATAGTAATCTGCAGAAAAACAAAGAAGCACCATCAGAAGAGCTGGCAGAGGTGAACCAGAGAGGAATACACCTTTCTCGCAAATATAAGAATTTTGTGTATCGTTAAAGATTAATCCATAAAAGCCTTAACCGGTGACAGCATCTATACACTCAAAAACTACAAGCATGAATCCTGTCACTGATTTGAGCAGTTTAATATATTTGTATAAAATATATCTTTAAATAATCGTTCAAAGTGTGATCATGTGTGCATGTAAGTGGTGTATTTATCACATGTTACACACGAGTAGACAATACATGCTAAAGAAAATTATTGGAAAGATCAATTAAAGGTAAATTACTGTTAAATGGTAATTAAATGACCTTATTTTAATTTTTAGTAGTAAAACTGAAACTAAATATGAGGACTTATTTTCACATACGACCTGAAATTGAGAGCAGCAATCAGGAAACACTTGCAGAAATATAAAATGTATTATAGTACACTCAGTTTTGATATCTTATAGATATAATAAATACAGTAACTGTGTTGGAATGTTGCAATGAAAACCAGTGTCTCCTTACCAGTGAGAGTTTTTCCTTGAATTTTTCCCTTCTTGAGTGCATGATCCTGTTAATGGAGATTCAGAGGTAGTCAGACAAAATATGTAGAAAAAAAAGGAAAGAAATAAGCAAAAAAAACAACAACAAAATCTGACATTTAAATGATGATGGAGAGGGGAGAGTGTTTTGTTGCAAATGATTTGAAAAACCAACCTTACAAGATGCTCCACTGCAAGCTCACATATTAATTGATGGTTAAAACAAGTCAAAGTTAAACAAACAGAAGATACTGTATATATATATTTTATAAATTAATAAAGTCAAAGAATATAACAAAAAAAAGTCCCAGACACAAGTTAGTTCCCAGGCAAATTAAACCACCAAGATGTTTTCCAATTTCCCATATTATTAATTGTATATTAACTTCCTGTTGCTTAGGAACAGACATCATGTCACTGGATATGAAGCGCAGGTATTTTTCATAATCTTTTTTTTTTGATTGTATAATTCTAATGTTGAATTCCCTCATCCTCAGTAAGCACACAGTCAGGCGCTTCACACGCTGCAAATTACACACAGGCATGTGTCTTTAATAAACTTGGTTATTTACAACAAGATGGCTGCATCCCTGAGTGGGAGGAAAAGAGGACTAAATATGTTGTCTGTGAAATGGTCCAAAACCCACTTGAAGTAAGACTGGAAGTCCCCCCATCGCAAACAAGGAGTATGTGGTCTCTCAGCACCTATTTGTGTCCCTTTTGTTTCTCTGCACACAGGCGCCCCCCACAGGGTGACAAAGGTACTGTGTTATTAGACAGCAAACTAAAACAAAAGACATGCAGGATAAAGAATTATTTAGGGAGTGAGAGAAAAAAAATACAAGGTGTAGATCGGCAGAGTTTGGACTAAAAATTGCAACAATGCAAATTCTGCATATTTTGTAGAGCATTTCTGATATTTAAATAGTTGTTTTAAAAATAAGCAACACAACCTACTGCTATAAAGATGCTTTATTCATTGTTTTAGTTACTCAGTCAATGCATTTACTTATACAGATTGCTGAAAAGAAAATTGAAAATATTTATCTTGTGTTTTTGCCAAATGTACTACAGATAAAAGTCCAACAGGCTGTCTGTTTTTTTAAACTTCTAATATAACCTGTCATGACACATGCAACTGTTTGCATCAGGCTAAATAAAGAAGCACTCGTTCGTGTTTTTAAAAACTCCGCTGCCATAAACCCATATGGTAGAACTGAGAATGAGGATTTCTAAGGCTTTCTGACAGAGTGAAGCATATGTTCCTTATTGTGCATCATCTTGTCTATAATCTAACTGCTGATGGTTAGCAGAAAGTATTAAGTGTCTACACTGACTGATACAATTCAGAGGATTAGCTTCATCTGTGAGTATCTTCATCCGCAGATCAGTGTGAAAAATTGCTTTATTTAGAAATAGCAAGAGTCCTGCAGCCCGCAGGATCCAAACGCATCGCCATAGCAACAGGTAGTCAACATTTGAGCGGGCAGCATTTTCCCACAGCTTAATGCTCGCTTCTCGCTCGTTTTCCTTGGCACCCCGTGCCCTCTTAATTTCAGTATAGAACATAAAGTTTAAACAACAACAAATGAATACAGCATTAAAATTCTGCCAAATAAGAAGCACAAGACTACGGTGAGCAGTATAACATGTAATTACTGATTCTAATTACAACAAGGCATAGAAAATAATTAAAAAGAAGGTTGTGTGCTGGGAGTTTTAAATAGCAGGGCAGGGATGATGTACTTTTCACAGGACAGGGCAGCATTAATGACTTCTTGTGCTCATGGGGGACAGATGGACTCACACTAATCTACAGACTGGTCCTGAGGTGGGTGGATGTCCTGTGGGACCAGTGTAGGTGTGACGCAGTGTTTAGAAAGTTCTGTCAAATATCTGATTGACATCAACTAACTTTGTTCACTTATCTTCTCAGTGGACAAAATTTGGATTTCACAAAAAACTTGTAAAGCATTTTTTCATCGTTGCTTTTTTCTTTGATTATTAACGCACTTGAAAAGATTAAAGCTTTGATTAAATTAAAATTAAATAATGACACAAATAGGCCTCATTAAATTCAACAAAAAACCAATTGAGTGGTTTTAATGAACTCCACCCACCCAGTATGATCATTTGTTTCATCAGGATCCAACAATTGCAATAAAACAACCAATTAAATTCAAGTTACTCTTGGGTAATTGGTGAATAAATAATCCAAGATTAACTTGAGGAGAATTATTTTCCTCACAGAATTGGACACTTACGAGATGTTTGTGCAGCAAACATTTACCAATCTAACAAAAAAAAGAGAAAACGTTTCAGAACATGAACCAAATTAAAACAAAATTATAAAAAAAAAATTCTCTTGACTTGATACAGCTATTTTTCAATTGCAAAATGTTAGTTGCAACAGTGAGCAAATTCACATGAAAGGTTGTTTTATGCAGGATTCCGTTCTTGACACAACCTGGGCTCAAACACGCGGCCTCAGGATGACAGGACCACGTCACTGACCACTGAGCTACTGTGGTCTCAGATACACAGAAAAATACTATAATAAAATGTTCTATGAGAATAAACTTGAGAGTTACTAGATTTATCAAAACATAATCAGATTTTATTTTTCATATATTTTTGGAGCATTCAGATATTATGTATTTGTGTGAAATCAGCTATAATGAGCAACAATAATAATGCTTCACACTGTAATGCAGAACCATGTTTTACAAACAAGTAAGGAGTTTTTCAAAACACTTTGGTATTAATTTTCAAAAACTGAAACCAATTCTACATGACAGGACCTTATTTACACGTTAGTCCAAAATTAGATCAATGTTGCCAAATCAGGTTTCCTCTGTTAGGCAGGAATTATTATAACAACAGTTTTTTTTACATAATAAAACACTGTAGAGTTGGGAACTTAACCTAATTGTAGAACAGAGTTTAAAAATCAAAAAATACTTTAAATAAACTGATAGCTGCATTTGAAGTGAAATAATGTAAATAAACAGTAATGCTTTGGTCATTTGTAAAGCATCAAACACTCATTCAATATTTTCTTATTCACATCTTACTTCAGCTGAACTGTCTACTTTAAAACCACAAGCTGCTGATTTTTAAACTGCTCATTTGCAGTTTAAATAATCTTAACCCTGTGAAGATTATAATTCCAAATAATATAACTTTATTCTCAGACCGAAGCAGACAGTGTTGCTATGGGTCAGCACATCCTTCTTCGTGTGTGTCTATTACAGCAAAAACATTTTTTCTCATATTCAGTTTGTATTTTATTTTAATGTGAATCTACCAGTCTACCATTGTGGCTTGACATTGCCAGGCTGGAAACATCTGTGGTTTCTCTACATTCGGACTCTATAGGTCAGCTTTTTGGGAATGTTCATAATAAATGTCAGCTGTTAACAGGGGTAGACTAGCATACAAGTCTACCAGGAGTTTTTCCGGTGGGCCGATGGGCTGCGGGTGGTTCGGCCCATGCTGCTGCACTCAGCCCCGTGGTCACCACAGCAAGCGCTTGTTTTGGGATGCCTCAGTGCCTCTATAAAGGCTGGGTTATCATAGACAAGCTTTGGGTACTTGTACAGGGCGTGCGCGCACCCTCGCCAGCAGTGGAGGTGTTTATACGTGGTGCTTACATTGTTGTAGATTTCTCCAAAAGGACAGTGAACTTTATGGACCACATATAAAGTAACTTCATGTTTGTCTCTCAGATCCAACAGAGAGGTGCGGTGCTGTGGCTCCAGCTTGTTATTCCTCTGTGGAACAGCACCTGTCAATCAGCAGGGGTGCAACAAGTGAGGGTGGCCAGGAGGGTCTATGAAACCCACCCCACCTCTCAAAATTTGGTGGCCCAACCAGGTATCTTTGCTTTGTGCTCAATTTATTTAATGAGTAAAACCGTATAAATATAAAAATGATTTTGCAAAACTAGCAGTTAAAAATATGAAAAAATTACTTAAAATAAAACTAACTAAAAATAGTCCTTCTGAATAAAGACAGCCAGTATAAAATAAATGTCCTCAACATTTAGATGATCTCATGAGGTTCGAGCATTATTTTTCTATAGCATATATATATATATATATATA